GTGCATCTGTCATTATATTCACCCATAGCTACTAATAATACTGGACAACAAAAGCGGATGGAGAATATGCGGTAAGTCGATTGTTCGTTCGGACGGATGGTTGTCCGCGACCAGGAACGAATTCATTCGTAATCGACGAGCTCGTATCTATATCGTTTCTACGAACTCTGTCACCGTAGTCACGCGACAAACCTGAAAAACAACGTTTATTTGCGTAGCCGATCACGTAACTCCGTTTAATTACGTGTTCGCGCAATTATGCCGTGAACTGCTTTCCTCTCGAAATAGCTGAATCGATACGAACGTTCCGAACGTCCAGAGGCTCGCAATGTCCTACCAACGTGTTACCTCAATACCCCCTCGAATTTCTGAACTGGAATGAACGAGAACTGCCAAGCTGGGGCGGCGATAAAAGTGTGTGCGATGCGTGTGACCGCGTGCGCATGCGCTCGCCTCTCTCTCTCTTTTTCTCGTTGCGAAACGAGTGAGCGAGCAAGAGAGAGAGCGAGAGAGTGAGAGGGAATTTGCTTCGTAGGTGGTCGGTCGGTAATACGCCGTATGGCGTGCTAGGACAAAAATAGTGGCGGTCCCGTTCGAAAATACCGACTGCTAAAAATACGAGCAAAAATAAACGTCTACACGTGCAAAAACATGTATTAATATTCGTTGCGCGGCCGACGTCCATGTTTTCCTACCAGTAGACAAAGACGGCGCGACTGGCGACCGAAGGAGAAAGCGAATTCGACGAATAGTGTGAACCCGCGGCGCGAGCGAACGAAACGAGAAGAGGCAACGCGACGAGAACGACGGTGAAAAAAAACGCGGCCCGGCGACGAAAGCCTTCTTTCGACGAAGAGGCGAGCGCGACGGGGGGTGGGGACAACGCGAATCGAGATCCCGAGGAAATTTCGACGCGGAAGGGACGACTGTGTGTGTGGGTTTTCGCGCGTGGTGTATTCAAAGAGACCGTAAAACGTGTCACGAGTGGCACTCGTGTAACGTGCTGGCGCCACCCCGACAGGGCGTAGCGGCGCCTCTCCTGACTCATTGGAAACGAAAGCGGCGACGGCGACGGTGGCGTCGCGACCACGACGAGAAAAAGGGTTCCGCGGACGACGGGAACTCGAAAAACACAACGGTCAGACGACAATCCCTTGCGCGACCTCTGGCCGTCCGTGACAGTTGAGTGGACCCGAAAGTCAACAAAAGGCAGCCGGATACTCGTGCGTCCCCATTTCACGCGTGCCTAGCTGGAACTACCGAAATATGTAACGCCATATTTTCGAACCTTCTATTCGCACCACTTGAAATTTGTTTACAATTTTACGATTATTTTTCAATTTGATGACTGAGATCTTTTTGTCTCGTTTAACAATTTTATTCCGTTAACCTCGATTTGAATTTTGTCTGCCAATAACGAGAGGAAAACTGAGATGCGAGAAGGGCAGACATCTTTATTATCGGATAGATAGCAATGGCCGCGACACCATCACTGATTTTTATGTCCGATGGTAATTGTAAACAGGTATCAAACTTGATGTAATTGATACGTATTGATACGTCGCATGTCTCGATAAATCGCGAATCATTCGTAATCGTTCCTTCAATGGTTTCGATACAAGAGAATCAATTTCTGACGTCAATCAGCGTCGATGGTATCTAAACACATCCGACGATCAGTTCCATCGCTGGTTGTGCGCGGCAAGTACGAGAACGGGGGACTCGTGTCGCTTTGCTCTCTTCTGCCTCCGTGTTTTACCAATCGCGAAGAACGACAATCGCGTCAAAACAATCGCTGAACATTTTTTTTGAATTTTTTATTCACCTTGTATTTAACTGCTTCATTTGTCGAATAAAAATAACGAAGTAAATTGTACGTTGAAGAGGCGCACCCTGTCAGACAGGGTCAAAGCACGAAGGACAATAAACAAGTCTTTCATTTTATACCATTAATTAATATTTATAGTATATAGAAATATGTAGTTTCGTTTAAACAAATATCGATGTCCTTGAGATCTCAAAAAATATGACCTTGAGAAAAATTTATGAAAAATAATGTTTTTCTCTAACAATTCTCTCTAACATTATTTATATAAATAACGATTGTTTAATCTTCTCCATGAATTCGTTGGGAATATTAACTTTTCCAAAATTCAATTTTATATTTTTTGTGTTCCTCTGTGAATACGTATCTACAAAAAGGAATATATTAAATCGACACAAAAATACATCCATTCGCTCAACAACATTTCCACTTGAAATTGCGAATTCAAGAATTCGGTCTATTTTACAATCCAGCCCAAATTAGACGTTCGATGATTTCGAGCAGACGGTACGGTGGTTTTTATTCCTCCCGACGAGGAACGACTACCGTTCCAGTTCGAGTCTACCCAAGTGCTATTTCGAAGGGGTGAAAGGGCCGTAGCTAGGTAAGCCGCTAAAAATAACGCCGGTACATCATATCGAGCGGTCGTCTATAAATAGTCGGAAGTGACGAGAGACCCTGGATGGATTAGAGTCACGAGTGGCGCTACCCAACGCGCGCCATCTTTTACAAAAATCTTTGCACCGACGCGACGTACCGATAGCTCGTTCCCCCGTATCTCACCCCTCCCCTCCAATCCTAGCACCCAGTTTTTCTTGACCAGCCGACAAAAGCTGAATCCCACGAGTCACACTATTAAAACTTTAGAATCTAAATACGGACATATTATAAAATGAGAATGTTGAACGTTGATGAAGTTCAAGGAAAAAATAGAGAAAAAAATTAAAAGATATACGATGACTAATCTTAATTTATGAATATTGGCAAAACGAATTTTTATAAGTTATAGTTAAGTAATTGCAAGTAGAAATAGTTAGAACGAAATATCAAAAATATTTCGGACCGCCAATAGTTCAGGTTATTTGACGTGTTTGAATAGTGTCGTCGGCCAATCGATCCGATCGAGTAACGTAAGAATCGATTTTTCGTACAACGGATATACTTACCAAGCTGTTAGTCCTCTCAGGGCCTCTGGCCTGTGCTTTTGCTTGAGCCAACATGTTTTCTTTTCGCGCCGTGTTTGCCTTCTTGAACACTGAAAGTTGTAGCAATGGCGTCGCTTCGTCTAGCCGCGTTTTTTAAATCGAAAATCGTCACGCAAACGGCTGACGTTTGTTTGTCGTAAACATTGACATTTAAGTGTCCTTTTTTTTTAATAGTCACAATCAAATTTGTTTGATCGTTGATTATTAAAAATCTTAATAAATTGTCTATTGTTTCGAACGAACGGATATTGATATAACAATATCGCAATAAACACGTTTAATAATAATAATAATAATAATAAAGTGTTTCGAGAAATGGGTTAGAAATGACCCACCCGATGTCCATCGCCGGGAGGGTTAACCTATACTCGTCCGTGGGAGGAGTTGGTGCGACGTTCCGGCGTAACTCGGACAGTTTGGCTATTGTTCGGTCGATCGATACGCCGGGGCTTCAGGGTGTAGCGAGGAATAGAGGGACATGGGGGGTCGAGGAGGGGTGACCTTGCCTCCTATTTTTGGAAGGTGGCTTTCTCGTGACCCGCGAGGTCGGAGGCTTTCCGTCGATGGGAAGGGAATGGAAGAAACTCGGACGAGGAAGTGGGGTACCCGGTGCTGGTGAGAAGAGTATCGATCGAATCGAAACGTTCGTTTGGAAAAGTTTTGACTGCCTTCGTCGCGATTCGCGTGGAACAAGCCAGTCAGAAACCACCTGCTCGAAGACGTTTCGGATGACTGGTTGTCGAGAGAAACGGGGAGGGGGGCGCCCTTCCCCAATTCATCCCGAATTTAGGATGTACAGTATTCCCAAAATGATCGTGCGTTACGTAATTATAACTATTTATTAACAGAGCGGAGACTCCTTTTATCATTTATGGAAGCAACCGAAATACCCACGTTGGATAACCAGGGTACCCAGATATTAGCACATTAATCTACTATTGTCCACCTCTTCGTCGTTATAACCGTTGCAATTTTAGAAAGAAACTACCAGGGGTTGGATCTGTTCTAAACTGTTACATATCGGTTCTCAGTTAATCCCTTAGGTTAATTTTAAAAATTTTTCATCCACCTTCAAAATTTCAGAACAAATGTAAAAGACGAGCCCCATATATTGTGTGTACTGCAGTTTCGTCAAACACCGCCATATTCTGTACGTTCGCACACTTTAGTTCCTGTCTCTAACCCCGGGGCCCTTATCTCGTAATATGATTCTTCTCGGAGTTTTGCACTGGTGTGTGTGTGTGTGCTCTGAGGAACCAATTAAACAAAACCTACCTTATGTGGAGTCCAACCGACAGGATAAAAAGCTATGTCTCTACGACGTACGTCCAGATATATGTCCAGTGTCAAGCGTTCGACAGCAAAATGACAGTTATATGTAGAACCAATATATTCGTGATAGTTACATTTTTTCGGTTTTCATAACTGTGTTTGCCTGCAAAATCAGCTAATTTAGAATGTATTTGCAACACTCTTGCCAGAGAGAGTTCCGGCGAATCATAGGGGTTGCGTGCATTTCAGTCTACGGTCCCGGATCATTGTTCCTGTAACGTCTTTGAAAAAAGCGAAACAGAATCCGAGCGGAATCGTCACGATGGAAACAGGTAACGCGTAACGTCCGAAGAGTTCGAGTTGATCTCTGGAGCGAAACGGCGCACGAAACGGACGGGGAAGGAAGATGGAGGACAAAGCTGAGAGCGGTATTGGTGGAGAAGACGACAACGGGAGAGCAGCAAGATGGGAGGGTGGCATATAAACTGGTGGGCGGCGTGGTTGGGACGGTTGTATTGGTAGGGGCAGTGTGAGGAGCAGCTTTACGATTACGTTGGCGGCCGAGAGCGAGAGAGAGGGCGAGAGAGAGAAATAGCGTGGACGCAACAATACCGGGTCTCTATAAATAGCCGAGATTCGCGAGCCTCGCGAGGCAAGGCGCTGTCATCGCGAGACGACGAGAGAATGTGAGAGAATCGCGAAAGAAGCGGTAGCGCGCGACGCGCGCAGTTCCTTCTCGATTCCGTGGTGTGCGCGCGCGCGACGAGAATACGCGACCTATTCGCGACTGGATCATCGAATCGTCGTCGCATCGGCTCTCTCGTTCGGCGCTGGTGTTTCGTTCGCGTTCCGCAGCATATTCGTATCATACTTGGTGGTGTTTTTCTTTTTTTTTTTTTCGTTTCTGTTATACGTATTCGTGGTAATCCACGACGACGTTGGTCGATGCTACGCGTGATATATCAGGTGGTGCACGGTGATAAAGAATAAAGTGGTGGGTGTCTTGCTGGCGGTGCACCGTAGGATGGTTGGAGAAGTGTGTGCAGCTGTGGCCGTGGACATCGCGAACGAATGACACTTCGGTCGAAAGAAAGGTGCATTTCCATTAAAGCATGATTGCGCGTGAACGCGCGCAGCCTGTCTCCCCTCCCCCGCCGAGATACGAAACCATCTGTTCGTCTACGTTCCGCGTATTTTTCCTTCCCTTTCCCCGTGTTCTTTCCTCGTATTTGCTTACGCGATCGTCGACTCCGACCATCTTCTTCTCGCTGGTATTCGGTCGCGAGAGATTCCGCGTTCTTCCCGTCGCGTCGATCGTGAAAACGAGATTCGATAGGAACCGAAGTAAAAGGTAAACACGCCGCGTGACGGGGATCGTTCGAGAACGCTGGTGCGTCGCACGGGCGTCTAGGCTGGCCGCCATCGTTTTTCCATTTACCGCGAAACTCCTCTTACTCTCGATCTTTGCCTCGTCCTTTTTACACGCGCTCGATGCCGCTCTTTCGCAACGACAGAGCCGCGCTATTATCGTCTCGTCTCGCCGAGGGAAACAGCCTCGTCGCGAGAGCTCGCCGTGTTTGTCAATCCGAAAGCGATTTCCGATATACCGGACACCTGTTGTTCCTGTCCGTCGCGTTCCAACGTTGCTGCCACTGTTCCAAGCTACGGCTACGCGTTAATGGAGAAATAGTCTGGTAATTTCAGATCGAAAAATGGAATTCTTTTTATTCGAAATTACGCGTTTTCTTAGCTACAGTCGCTTAACGTTTATCGCGTTACTTTCTTAACCTCTCGCACTACGATTTACGTTGGTGAATACAATTACGAGACAATTGCGTCGATGATTCGATGAGACAGATTTTTGTTCGATCCAAGTCTAATTCAACCTTCGAAATTATTCCACGGAAGACTGTTCGACTTCTGTTCACAAAGTTAGAATAGCCCAAATGTTGACAACGTTTCGGCCAAGTGTTCTAATACTTGTGACCGGTAGTGTACCATACCACGTGCCCGAGTCGTGGTTCTTATGTTTGGCTCGCGAAACATACCACGAGTTACACACGATATTATAGTGCAAGGGGTTAACGCATAATGTTTTCCATAGGATTTCGTGATACGAAATTTTGGACCAGTGTACATGGTGCAACCACTAAAATTCTTACAATGTTTACTGGCTGATAATATTTTTATGAAGAATTTGCATAAGCAAAATTTGCACACGTTAAACGGAAGTATTCGTTATAATTAATTTAACAAAAAGTAGGCATACAATACGTGTACTACGCCAATGAATATCGTATACATTAGCATTTCATATTCGAAGCTGAGTAAACGCTGCATATTTGGTTACAGTATTAAATCAATTTTGACACAGTATTGCAAACTGTGATATTTAATATTTTTTTAAATCTATATAAATAGGGATTGTAGTTTTTTTGATGTGAGGTTGACAGTGTTGTTAACAACATTGTGACATTGTTATGTGAAGGTTTAATATTGATAAAAAAACTGTTATACTATTTATTTAGTGTGATACTTGTGTCGCGGATTCATAGATTGTATATTTATAGATATGTCTAAAGATGACCCAGAGATTTTGAAAACGTTCTTACGCTTTGTCGATGAATAGATAGAATGAACTTATTTGTTTCATTTGAACTACCAATATTACTGTTCGAATATTATTATTCGAATGAAAGAGTAGTGTTATATTTAACGGAAAGAACTATTTAAATAACACGAATTCCACTGAAGTATTTAAATATAATACATATTATATTTTGTTATCAACTAAATAGGATCACGTATACGGACTCACTGTTGCTGTGAATGAAATTGACTACTTTTAGAAAATGGTCAATAATCCGTATATACAGGGTGTCACATTTTAATTCTTCCACGCCATTATCTCCGAATTTAGTGGTTATGTATAAAAAATGTTTTAAATCAAACTTATTTTGTGTCGAAGGGAATATATTTGGTTAGCATAAATTTATTGTAGATGAAGTCTTTTCCAAATTTCCATATCCCCCCTCATCTACGATTCTAAAATAATTATCCATTTTCTGTCAGAATATTTTTATCGTAAATATACAGGATGTTCGGCCAACGCTGGGTAAAATTTTAATGGGGGATTTTAGACGCCAAAATAAGACCAAAATCAAGAATGCCAATTTGTTGATGGAGGCTTCGTTAAAAAGTTATTAACAATTAAATTCAAAAATATCAAATCGTTCTGGAAAAATTATTTTCGAGCGCGGGTGTCAATTACAACCATTTTTGGTGAATAGACATACCCCCGAAATCCTACGCATTTTCGAGAAAAAAATTCAGAAAGGTAGACAAATTTTTCGCCGAAAAAAAAAATTTCGAATCGTTCTAAAAAAATTATTTCTAGATTCTGGCGTCAATTGCAACCATTTTTGGTGAATAAACATAACTCCGAATTCCTACGCATTTTCGAGAAAAAAATTCAGAAATGTAGACAAATTTTTAGACGGAAAAAAAAATTTCAAATCGTTTTGGAAAAATTATTTTCGGTTGCGGTGGTCAATTACAATAATTTTTGGTGAATAGACATACCCCCGAAATCTTGCGCATTTTCGAGAAAAAAATTCAGTACTGGCGGGACTTTAAACGTTAATAACTTTTTAACAAAACCTCTAGCAACAAATTGGTATTCTTGATTTTCGTCTTATTTTGGCCTCTAGAATCCTCCATTAAAATTTTTCCCATGGATGACCGAACACCCTGTTAGTACTAGTACGAAGTTATTATATTTTTTTTTAAAAAAGTTGATCTTAGGTCTAACACATTTTATTTAACAGAAATCGTTTCTCATAATTGAAAGTACGATAAAAGAAAAATATTGCGTGCAATATTTCCGATAAACCGTTAATCTGACAGACAAAAATAAAAAAAGATTGTTAATCTTCAGTTTATCTATTGAATGAGTCACCGTTTAGCTAAGATTTCAGATATTTAGTTTCATGGTGCTATTTCATTTTCTTGAATCAATCAAAAAATGAAAATATTCAATATTTTCTTTTTCCATGGTTCAATTTGTCTTTCTAATGGTTATAATAGTACAGAGTTAGAAGTAGTATATTCCTATCTTGGAAAATATGACCTTGAGAATAGTTCTTTTTATCATGACATTTACTTCTTACAAATAAATAATGTTTTCCCTTGACTTTTTTTTATATCCGAATATCGAATGGACCAAATTACAATTTCCGAGACAAAGGTTTCTAGTAACCCGCGAGACAATATTTGTAGTTGTAGTTGTAGTTTTTATAGGTTAGGAATGAGTTTAAAAACCGGTGGAACGAAAGTTGTAGCATCCTGGAGGATATTACTGTAAATCGACGCCATTTGATCAGTTGTTTTTTCGAAAGATTCGTAATTTTCCAAATTGTTCAGCAATAAATAAATCCTCGTCGCGTGGGTTTCCCTTTCGACCGCGTAGCGATCGAATCGACTGACCGCGATTCGCGAATCCGGCACAACAGAGAACAGAAGAGAAAAACGAAACGTCGCTGACGTCACTGGAATCATTCGCGCCACTTAGACGAAGTCACGGGATCAATTTAGAACGCGGACGGTCAAGTACCGACTGCGATCGGCCGTTTTGTCGTTCAACCTGTCGCTCGATTTTTGTCAGGGACACGCGAGGGCCCATTTTCACGAAACAAATCGACGCTCGAGTCCCGTCTGTTGTAATTGATCGGCAACCGGCGCGAGAAAGGATGTACTCTTATCTTTATTTCAACGATATTGTATCCCCGAATAGGATTCAAACAATAAAAATAACAAAAGTGGTCAAATTAATATAAAAATTGTATCAGTATTTCACTCATTAAAGAATGGTAGTCGATAATGATCGAACGGAATTCTAGCCCACCGTGTATAATGTCAGAAAATTTATCAGCCCTCCATAAAATATATAATACCACATCCTATTTCGAACATGTAATCTCGTTTTAATATCATTAATCTGTAATTCGAATATTCCCGGTATCACCTAGACACTTTATGAGAAATTTGATTTTTCGCCGTCTCGTTTACAGAAGTATCTGTCTCGTGATCCAATTAATCGTAATGCTTCCTCTGCCAATAGTTGCACAAGATGTCCCGGCTAGACGGAGTTATACCATTGTTCTTCTTCGCATTTCATATTTTCGTTATAACTCTTCGATAAAACCCTTACAATCTTATTTATAAGTAACTTGTACACTCGTAATTTTATTTCACATTTTAAAATTATTTTTAAAGTATCACTTTATTCCCAGTTGTATTTCTGAGCCACCTTGTATAAGACATTTGAATTTCTAAAAATCAAAAGAATTAAAAATTTTCAAGTTGAGAATTTTTTTTAGAAGAAATTACAAATAAAGTTGTATAATTGTTGTTACTAATCTGATCTTGGTTATAAACAAAACTTCTTATACAGTGTGTCCGAAAAGTTTTCTTACGAATATTGCCAGCGTTAGCCTAAAAATGAAACCGAAAATATTTATGGATATTTCTCGAAAATACTTTTAGCACTTCGAAGATCGTAAACAGTTACTTTACGAATCAGAACGCAACTAAAATAAAACTACTAATGTGTGCAATTTTGCGGCCGTGGCGAGCCGTTTCAAAACAATAAACATAGCTTATATCGCCAGATAACATAAGCACCATTTATCTATTCTTGTCTCCCGTCGTGTCAAGTGTAAGACCGTCATTGTTTTTTATTTTCATATTTCATTATTTTATTACAACTTTTTAATAAGCATTTATGGAACTTTGTTTGCAACACATTTTTATCTTATTTTTAACAAGAGAGCACGCTGGCAAATTTTCCACGGGCACCCGTGGAACATTCTATATATTTCTATCGCTACGTTCTAGATAATTTGTCGCGTTATTATAATTTCTTTTATTAAATTAGTTTTCGAGCCGTTAACGATCGAAATAAAAAAACTCCTAATCGAAGCAATACGAATGAAATTTAGTTTTTTGATAACAATTTTCTATTGAAAGTTAAAAGGAGATTTTACAGGTAAAAATACGACGAAAATCAAGAATATCAATTTGTTGATGGAGCCTTCGTTAAAAAGTTATTAACAATTAAATTCAAAACTTTCAAATCGTTCTGGAAAAATTATTTTCGATCGCGGGGGTCAATTATAATCAGTTTTGGTCATTACACATACCCTCGAAATCCTGCTCACTTTCGTGAAAAAAATTCGAGGAGGTATGACATTTTTTGGTGAAAAAAAAATTTTTCAAATCGTTCTAAAAAAATTATATTTAGTTACAAGAGTCAATTACAAGCATTTTTTGTGATTTTGTTAAAAAAGTTATTAACAATTAAATTCAAAAATTTCAAATCGTTCTGGAAAAATTATTTTTTCCATAATTCCTTTTATCTTATAGAATTTTTTACCGGTATTATATCGAAATGCGTCACTTCGATGACGTCATAATGATATTCGAAATATTCGGTTTCTTCAAAGGTAATAAAAACGCCTATCTGAAATTACTGGTATTTTATCGATATTCGTGATGCTGATTCAATATCTGGTTAAGCTGCGTAGAAAATTGGGCTTCGACCCGTTATCGAAATAAATAAATGAATCGAATTAGTCACTGTACGCCGCGTTCCTTCGATATATATCGCGTCCATTGCGCGGTCGTTGGTCTTCCTCCCTCGTGGTCGCGGTCGTATCGAGGAAATCGAGTCGGTACTCCCACGCGCGCAGACTGACGCGATCGCGTTCACTCGTGTCTCGAGCTTCTCGGGACCGTAACAACCCGTTCGTACGATACGGTTCTTTTTTTATCGTTTCGGTCACTCTATCGAATCTTTCACAGTTACACCTCCGTGTAAATTTAACGATTTATCCTCCATAACTGGTCCTCGTTTCACAAAACTAACTAACATTAACACGTTGACTGCCAGATCAAACCCCTCAAATTAAAAGGAAAATTAAATTTTGTTTTTAGTCAATTGGAAACTAGCATACCAAGAACTTGTCATGGAATTTATTTTCACAGACTCGTTAAAATTCAAGGGCCCCACCTAGCTTTATTTTCTTTTACATCTAATCTTGAAAATTAATTTTTTTAATTTCTTGATGAAAAGTCGTGTCATCCATATGTGGGTGACGTGGTAGTCAATGTGTTAAAATAGAGACGAATCAATCTAAAATTACCATATAATTCCGGGAGTTTTATAAAAAAAAAGTTTCCAATTCGTAATAGCCGAGAAAAAAAATGGTCGGTTTCGGATGACGGGGGGAACGCGAACATCGAACATCTCCTTTGTCGATCCACTTTCCTTCTATCGTCCGTTTCGTTGTTTCTAGCGGAGAAGGTCGTGAAAGGTGAAAGAGAAACGGGACAAACGAGAAGGCGTCAAGGAGTCGGTCGATGATATTCGCAGTGCGTGCACGTTAACTCAGCGAGACGCCGCGCCGCGAGCATCGAGAGAGACTCGGCTATCGCGACGGTTCTCCCTACAGCCAATCGGGAAGGCGAGATATCGCCGTGGAACGAGCGCACTCGCAGCCGAGAGAGTCGAACGTGGTGTCTCTGGCGTAGCATCGTGCATCGTGGTCGAAGTGTTGTTGCAGTGCCGCGTACGGTATTCCTGAATATGCTACCGTCACGCGCAATATGTATCGCACGAATCAACTAGGTACGTATATCTCTCGTGAGCTCTCTCTTTCTCTCTCTTTTTCTCTCTCATTCTCACTCACTCACTCTCTTTATCTCTCTCTCTCTCTCTCTCTTTCTTTCTCTGACAACCAGGGGAAGAAAATCGCCGCGTGCCGCGACGAGAAAAAGAGACAAACGGCAGAGTTTCGAAACAGGAGCGTTCGAAGACCGAGCGCGTGTACGCTCACCGCGTTTAGCAGACGCGTATATAAATGTCATCCTATATATAGCGAGCGTTCGTCTAATGTTAGCTAGTCGGCCACCGGCCGGGAACACGAGTAAAAAGTTACTGCGACTCTCTTCGCCGAAACTCCCGCCTCTCGTCGCGTTCGCCACGATTATCCTATTCGTTTCCATCGATGCATAGGACGAAACGCGACCCTCCCGTCGATCGTTGTGATTCTTTCTGCGAATCGAGGTCAGCTTTCTTCCGTTTCGCTTTGCCCCGTGTCCGTGTCCGTCTCCGTCTCCCTCGGTCCTCCATTTTCTCCGAGATTTACGTCGGACCCCGAGCATCGATTACGCATCGCTTGGACGTACAGTGTACAGTAGGATGAACTTTATTTGGTTTACCAACGAAATCTTCGTGTGCAATCCTCTGGATGAAATAGCAAATTTCTGCAAAGGGGAAAGTCGATCGAACGGATGGCGATTGTTGCTTTTAAGGCTTCTAACGAGAGAATTAACCTGTACGCATAATATGAATAATAGGTCCAACGACCAGCTGTGCACGTGTCTCGATCGTGTGCCACGCGCGTAGCGATCAGATCGATATGAATCTCTATCGATAACACTCGAAAAATTCAATATCAAAGTAGTCGATAGGAAGCATCGAAAGATATCGAAGTTTTATGGTATATTTTTACGAACGGAATTCACGGTCGACCAACATGAAATTTGGAGAGGACCAAAAGGAGGGGGAATGGATGTCAAATATGAAATTTTCGATTAAAATTAAATACTTTCTAAATACTACAATTTTATATTTGGCGTCCATTCCTCCTCCCCTCTGACCCCACTAAATTTTACGTTGATCGAACACGGGTGCCATTTAGAAGAATAGTCGAAATCATTTAATTTTTTCTAATGAAATTTTGTTGTTCTATCCTGTACTGTTTTAACGCTGTCTTGGCCCAGTATCGTGAGACACCCTGTAGAACCGATATAGAACAGTTACACAACCGTTAAAGAACCGATATAGAATAGATATTAGAATGGTAACCGGAATAGATATGTTTACTTTTCCCGGTTCTCTGTAACAATTCTTCGTAACTGTTTTCAGAACCGGAATCGATATTATATCTGTTTCCAATCTCTGGTATTAATACTTTAGTATTAAGTGTACATTGTCACTTTCGTAGAAATATGAAATAATCGTCGATTCTGTTTTATATCTACGCGCTTGATACTATTTGATACCAGCTTAGAATTCACGACGCACGTTTCTAAACTTTAAAAACGAATGGTTTACGGCCAAGATAGATGGTTTAAATCTATAAAAAAAATCAAGGTATTAATAGAAATAAATAAATATTTGGCAACACAATGCTTGTCCAAAAATAGACTCATATTCGACAGCCAATCAAGTATTTATAATCCGAATCTAAAACAAATATTTATCTATGCTGTTCACTATTACTGTGTGCTGTTTATTAATAACGGTTATTTTTAAAATCATTTCAAATTAAAATAGCCTTTAACGGAGAATAGATTCAAATTTAAAAGTCATTCTGAATCATACGTTCTTATTGAATCTGTATCATTCCCATCACTACCCACACGTGTTGTAGTTACGCGTCGCCCTCACTGATGGCGCTGCACGCAGGCCGGAAACCACGCGACGCAGGTTGAAACCGAAAAATTTGCGTTACCAGTTATCATGGGTAATCCACGAGCAAAAGACCCGTAGCGAGTCGAATACCATCGATACGTACTTCGTCCAACGACTCTCGTTCTCGACCAACGGTTCGCTTGACCTACACACCGACATTCGTTCGCTAATAATAACAACGTGCTGCGGCGAGTGGCGATTCGCACGAGATTCTAACCAGCTCGTCGCACTCCAGACTCGACTCGCTTTCGATTCGAAGACACCGACAAAACAAGTCGCACCTGTCGCGTTACATTTTCTCTGATAACTCTGGAGCAACGTTTCTTAACCTTTTATACATCATGTAACGTCTCAAATATTCCCCCCCTCGGCTCGATAATCGATCACATTCTAAAAAAGTATAATGTACACAAATAGGTACATCGAATAAAAAAAGGTGTAAACAGGTTGTTGCGTTTTTTAGATTTGCCTCGACACATTTTTGTGAAGCAAGAAGCCGTCACTGTCGCGATATTAAAGTTTATCGTAATTGATAACTAGGCGGGGTTTAAACGCATACATCCGGACAACGCTTTTTGTGGCAATTACTTTAATCAACGTGGACCTTAATTGTCTTCTTCGCTGGAAGCTGGCGACGTCGTGGTGTGCAGCCTTCCCCTCCCCTCACCCCCTGTCGTTGTATCCCACAAACCTCTATTCGAAAAGCAGAAGCGGCGAACGACGCGATTATCCGTTTAGTTGGATGAAAAATGCAGACCCTCGTTTCACGTGCTCTCGTGTACACGTGAACACGTGCGTTAACGCGTTAAACGCCGAGCTAATTTTGTTCTACTTTTCATTCAGGCGACGCGTTAATGCGGAAAATGCGTTCGTGTATAAATAAAAGGCGACGAGCAAAAAGCCACGGTTTTATTCAATATGTTTTAATAAAAAATAAACTGTTATTTTTTTAATTCGATACCGTCGAATATAGCCGAAAAAAAATGTTTCGGATCGTAAAGGGTGTAAGGTTAAATTTAAACATTAATGACTCCGGTAATAGTGTAAGTCATTTTTACAAACATCGTCGCTGTACTTTTAGTGACTTTAATGGCTGGCCAGCTTGTTCACGTTTTATAGGTCCAATGCAGACCAACGACTTTTTACCGCACGATTATACATACATACGTCTTCGTTGTTCTCGATTAGGGGAACAAGGAAAGACGTACGATCGGTGGTGAAAAAATCGCTCGTCCGCGTGAAAGCTTACACCACTGTCCGTCGAGATCCCGATCACGAGCTTTTTCACGGCAAACTGTGCGGTAATAGGAGTACGGTGGAAAGAGGAGAGGAGCAAAGCACGCGCGTCGAAGAGCGGCCCTCCTCCGATTAACCTTGGACTTGACTCGGTGGAATGCGCAGCGTGCAGTGACCTCTGCTCGCCTCGCTAACTCGACGCTCGTCGACTCGCTCGCTCGCTCGCTCGCGCCACCTATCGTCCCGTTCTTGTCCAGTTTCAGCCCCTTTCCATTCGACTACGCTCGATTCGATCCCATTGGATCTTTTTCTCGGTTGCAACCACAGATATTTGTAAATTACCGTACTACGTCGATGGCAACGTCCAAGTTACGTCGGTTTTGTTCGAACATCGAACAGGCAATATTCATTTATTTAGAAAGACGTTATTTAAGTTTTGTATGCCCCGAAATATTTAATTTATTCGCGTCATTGCAACGGCTATCGTAGCCGAAGATGATAGATTCGTACCGCAAGCTTCTCAACGAATATAATATTTATGATTTTAGACAGAAATCTGAATAAGTATTTATGCAAATATTTAGTCGAAGTTAAACACGCCAACTCTGACTCGAAGCTGCACGTACCGCCACTTGTCATCTACGGCACGAATTTATATAAATTGACCTTCACGGCTCGAAACACAGTCCACCGATTTCTAACAGTCTAGACGTCAATTGATTGTAATCTCTTTCTGAACATCGATGTTTCTCAAACTGTGACCCCCAGGACCACGAAACAAAGAAACCTAACCTAACCTAACCCCTGCCACGGATGCATATATTTACCTGGAATTCGGTGGCAATAGTAGCGATCGATTTTTTCGAATATCCTTGGAAACGTGTATAAAAAAAAGTTACGCAGACGATTCGCGAAGGAAGTCGAGATTGCTAAACCGATCGTTCGTTTTATTTCAGAAGACGTGGGCTACAGAAGCGTCGAGATCGCGTCCGCGTTTACGCATCTGCCGCAAAAAGGTAAGGAAAGAAAACTAAACGACTGGATTCGTTCTTGCGACGCTCGATCGAAAAAAACTTGAGATTGCGTGGCGATCGTAGGAGAACCCTTTGCCCGCGAACATCTTCTTCGAACGACCACCCGCGGCGCCACGTCTCCTCACCCTCCTCATCAATCAGCATTCCTGCCTTCTTAACGCGTGAACCACGGTGGTCACCGGTGACCGCCACCTCGAGCTTACTATACAAGATTTCGTTAATCCCGTCTGTTCCATCGATTAATTAAACTTATATCCAAATAATAATTTTTCCTATCCTCGATATGTGATTTAACCTATCGTTACGTTTTGCGCGGTAGCGTCCGTAAACCGCGATAAAACGAAGCCGCGCGGTATTCGATCGATCGTTTCTACGAAACTTGGTCGATTCGGAGATTAGTCGTAACGCATACAAAGGACAGATAAGCGGCTCGACACGCGTCCGACGGTTCTAAAAATAGCCACGCTATCGAGTCCTCAACCTATCGGCGATAAGGACCGTGAACGATGCAGTTTTCGCGGGCGCGTATTTCGATCGATGCGTTTCGGGTAGGGTGACGCACGAAAACCAGCGTCATTCGATATTCTCACGGCTTGGTATCGATCGAGAGAGAGAGCGTTTCGCGAACGGATTCGGTCGTGAGCGGAAATACACGGAATTCGTCGTCGTTGTTTTGAAACACGAGCGGTCCCGTCTGCGCAGAAATGGCCAGGGACACGCCAGGCTCACCCATGTCTAGGCCGAGGGATTTGGTCGGCGGAGTTGGCGGTACTGCGGCCACCTTGACATCCAGCGCGTATCACGCCGCCTCTGGCGACCCAACCGCCCTTCACGGCCACGCGCTGCAGCAAAAGATACTCGAGGTAATGTATTCGTAACATTTCTTCAACGAGCGTACTTCATGTTCTCTTTCTTTTGTTTATTCTCGTCCAGGGATGGGCAGAATGCATTTCGAACAGTATTCGATCGATGAATATCGTATCGACCTATATATTCCGTTAGTTGTCCAATGCTTGAAAGTAACGTTTATCAAAGTTCGGAACGTGACCACCAGAGGGTAGGTGTCTCGAGAATCAAGGAGCTCTTTATTGTTCCTTTAGCAAGGGTGTCAGGGCTGTCATAACGCATGTGCCCATTCCTGTTCTTCTTTTTCTTATTTTATTTCCGTCGAGACTGTACGCGTTGGGTTATTAGTCAGTTTCGACGAAAGTAGAAATTCCTTTCAGCGGGACGCGGTCGAGCGATTCCACGTAATCGGAAATTAGAGGTGAAAGGCTCGTTGAAAACGAAACGACCGTTCTCCCACCTGAACGAAGCGTTATGCCTAATTTCCACTCGAGAATTTTACTTTCGAAAGTTGGTATCGAGAATAAAAGTGCCTTCGCGCAGGCAAGAGCCTTTCATGCTGCAACCTGCCAATAATAGACAGAATTTTATTCGAATAACAAATGACAAATAAAAAGTTTTTTATTCAACTAAGTTTTTAAATAAAAAAAATTCTCAAGGACACTCCCTAGAAGATTTCAAGGTCATCGGTTTAGATTCTTATAAAAAATACAAAAACAAATTCAACGGCTATAATTACCTTTAAAATATTCTTAGTTTATATGGTGGGAATAGATTGTTGTTGTGATCGTTGAATTTGTCTTTTTCCTTTTTTATAAGAGCATGAAAAAAATATCTGATTAAAACAAAATATCGATGACCTTAAAATCGTTATAAAAAGTGACCGTGACGGAAATTTTCTTATTAATTTTGTTCGTCTGAACGGTTTACCATGCGTTACACAGTTTTTCATATACCCATAAATATTGAAAATGTTAGCGTCATAACAGGTGCCCCTTGAAATCTTCCAGTTTTATTCTGTGAAATTTTTGGTACGACCATGAATAATAAATGTCGAGCGGACGTTACAATATGGTCCTCGATGAGAACCCCTGGTTTATGTGATATTTAAAGATAGAGTTTTGACGGAGGTTTATCTTCGGTAATACAAGCATCGTTGACAGATAAGAGTTCGCGGCGTAGTGGACTACGATAAGGCCCGCGTGAAGTGGTGTTATGTTTATTGTATTTTGTAATTGTTTATTACAACTCGGCAAACATTAAATGCGCGCTGTGTAAATATTAAGCCTATCTGTAAACATTGGCGATAAGCGTGGCAAGTAGTTTCCCGTAAATATAAAATTAAATATTATTATCGAAGATACATATAAATTTCAAGTTCTTTAGCACCGTTAGGATAAACAAATACAGTCGTTTTCGATTAGTTAATTTATATCCCGGCCGCGAACAATGAAATATTTTTTCTGAATTTGTGAATCGCGTGACTCGTCGCTGGCGGTAATAATTATTGTTCAATTATTTATAAAATATGTTTTTGTAAATTCTCGATTTTTATTCTCGATGTCCAATGTTGACAAGGCAGCGTTTAACCGAATTCCATTCGGTGACATTCTCGTCGGCACTTCGAGGTACATCTATCGTCTCCGTCTGATGTGCGTTTCGCGCGAGAGTGATTCGCTCTCCGACTATGGGGATATATGTATATGATCTATAAATAGCGCCCGATGCCGTACGCGTCACCCTCTTTCACGTTCAGTTCGCGCTCGATGGCTTCGGCGCTGATCGCGTGTTATTTTTAAGCGAACGCGTGCGAAACCGTTGATTCCCACTATCCACGGATGGGCTAAATTCTTATTCGGATCAACCATCCGTGCAATTAACAACTTTTGGTGTGTTATATCGTTCGAGTCAAATTCAAGCCTATTTAGATGACTGTGCGAATAAATATTTCGAATAAGTCCCTGATAGGGGTTTTATTTGCCATCCGTTGTTCGAATAAACTTCTGTGCACGTTTCTGTCGCTGGTGGACGCGAAGTTTTCTTGACCCCGGAATCGCTCTATTGCGGAAACGGTTGCCCAACGATGCGCGTGACCACGCGTACGAGTCGTGCTCGAATCCGTGCACCGCGAGACTCGCTTCAATCATTTCCTTCGAACGTTAACCTCGAGACATCACTGGATGTGTTTCCAGTTGCAACAGCGTCATCAACTTCAACAGCAGATTTTACGGCAACAGTATCAGGCGCAGGAACGACACCTGGCCGAACTGCACGAGCAACAGATGCATCAGCTGAAGGTAAGCTGCGCGTCGACGACCATTCACGCAACTGAGCATATCTGCCCCCCACCCCCATACTCAAGCGTTAACCAAAACTGTTAAGGAGGGAGGGTCAGGAATGTCTCGCACAGATTTCGATAACAGCGAAGGGATAGAAGGTCTGCGTGTTGTGTACAATATTAATCAACAATAACCATAAATTTTGGATAAAAATGAAATCAACATACGGAGAATTCTGGTCACATGGTGTGAATAAATAATCAGAGTAGGGGACTGGTTCAGCTGTTAATTGATTCTACAGTTAATCACGAAGTATATTTTACGATAATTGCTAACGATTAAAATTGGAATAAAAATTATTTTATTTTTATTTCTTTAACGCGGTTGATTTCAAGAATTTCGACGAGGTTGCAAAAATAAGTACTACGACAAATTGTTGATCAATTAATATCGAATTGTCTGAAAACGAAACCGTTGATCCCGTAGAAAATTTCACGAATTTGGTCTGGTATTGTGTTTAGAAAGCGTTTCGAAGCACATTAGTATTTTGGAGACATTACGATTCATTTTATAAGATGCACTTATCTAAGTCGAGACATTCCACATTTTTCGTCGACCGTGGGGACAGAAATACGTAATTTCGCGTCAAAAGGGTTTGTGCGGTCCCTGATTAAAAAACGAAGTTCTTCGCGGTTCTTTATGCACGAAAGATTGTACATCGCTGTTGCAAGGAGAACACCCTCGAACACGGAACGACCGCGACGCTCGTCTTCCAACCGTCCCGAGCGAGAGTCCAACGGAATATTCCTTTCACTCGTTAACGCGATCGGCGCACGACCCGCGCGAATGAGAACGGACACGGCCGTTGGAAAGAATAGACGGTTCTTGTTACGAACGGGCGAGGGGGACGCGGAGAGCTGGAAGGGGGGTCCGTTCTGCAGCGTTCCCCCTCCCCCCTCCCGCGCATCGTCGCGCATGGCCGATCTTATTAATTACTTTCTCGACCGACGAATACAACAGAAGGGAAATACTGCTGTTCATCCAAATCTGAATGACCCTCGTCCAGACTTTGGCGTTTTGGGAAACTTTCGAATTACATTGTTTAAAAATTTAATTTTCCGAGTTACTTAATAAATTACTTACTTTAGCAGCGCGGTTTATCCGACGGTTAGGTTGTCTTATTAACAAGGTCGTAAATAACGTTCACTTTCTGAGAGCGTGGGCGGTTAAACATAAAATTTGAATAACGACCGAACCAAGTGCTTTTCCTGTACAGATCGGTCTGGGAGTTTATTATTACGTCTTGTGATTTCTACGTTTAGAAAACATATACTATTCTTAGATCGTATTCTAGAAGTGAATTATTCTCGTGTACTTGGAATTGGAAATAAAGTGTTTCGTATATTTTCGGTGAGAATAAGAAAGAAGATACCTACGTAAATTCTCTGTAGTTTTTCATACATACATAGAGGGTGTTCTAGAGGCCAAAATAGGACGAAGATAATTCTTACCACAGGCGAGGTGCACGAGTAGACCTTACATTCAGTGTATTTTTTCGACCCATTTTTCTGGGGGCTCTAGAGCTCTATTAATACGCATTGTTTGAACTTTTGATCATTAAAATTCTCCAATCCGTTCAGAAGTTCTGATTTTTTAAACACACGTATGAAATTTCGGGGGAACATTTCTAGCCACCCGATATACTTTCGGAAAAGAATTTTTTTCTCGAATATGCGTAGGATTTCGAGGGTATGTCTTTTCACCAAAAATGATTGTAATTGACCCCCGCAACCGAAAATAATTTTTCCAGAACGATTAAAAATTTTTGAATTTTGTCGAAAAATTTCACACCTTCTCGAATTTTTTTCTCGAAAGTCAGTAGGATTTCGAGGATACGTATAATGACCAAAACTGATTATAATTGACTCCCGCAACCGAAAATAATTTTTCCAAAACGATTTGAAATTTTTTCCCCAGTCGAAAAATTTCACACCTTCTCGAATTTTTTTCTCGAAAGTGCGTAGGATTTCGGAGGTATGTCTTTTCACCAAAAATGTTTGTAATTGACCCCTGTAACCGAAAATAATTTTTCCAGAACGATTTAAAATTTTTGAATTTAATTGTTAATAACTTTTAAACAAAGACTCCATCAACAAATTGGTATTCTTGCTTTTCGCCTTATTTTTGCCTCTAGAATCCCCCGTTAAAATTTTTCCCAGTGGTGGCCGAACACCCTGTATAATTCGTTTTTCGTGAATTTATTCGTTATTCGAAATAACTTCCCGCGTGTCCGTGTATCGAACAGTAGAACGCGCAAAACGGCGACTCTAATATTAATATTAACCAGTTTGACTACTGGTCGGTGCAGTTTGTATACAGTACGAACCCCATTGACTTACTTATCCGTGTTATTTTTGTTCTTAGTGTACGGCTCAAAAATTTTTTTTATCATGGATGACGCGGGTTCAGAAGGTCCATCAAGGTGATAACATTACATCTTTTGTGCGGCTTTTTCTGTGTAAGTTGTCAAGGTAACCTTCAATTTGTACATGTACAACCCTGTAGTTCTTTTTTGCCTATCATTTAGCAGCCATTGTGATGAAATCGACAGGGTATAAACGACATGACCTTCAAAATGACCTTTGAGCACGGAGAATTCATGTTGGGCGAAACGTAACGTTCCGAACGGATTGCCAGCCGAGTTTCCGCAGCGTAAATGTAATGCACTTACTCTGGGAAAGCTACCATGGAAGATGTAATGAACATTGTTTCTCGTAACGTTCAATTCTCTCGTTGATAACTACCGTTAATAAACTGCACAGATCAGCGGAGAAAGTTTCATCACAAATTCTATCCCCCTCTCTTAAATCCCATCGATTCTACTTCAAACGATGGTACCGATGTGTGTTTTGAGTATGGTAGCAGTACTTCCGGTTGCGATTAAGTAACTACGTATGTATAGCTGTTTTTTGTATAATTTTTAAACTAATCTGTTAGAAAATTACACGATCTTTAGTACCACGCTTCCTTACCAACTAAACACAACTTAAATTTCAAAACCAATAACACCGTGACGAAAAAAATATATATATAAATAATCCGTTTATAATTATATTTGTTCGATTCGTTAAAATTGGTCGTTGTCGCGGGAGGGAGGGGCGAACGATTCGGCGCGAGATGCGATTAAAAAAGAAATAAATAGAAAACTCCATCGATTTGGTTTTCTGTCGCAGCTATGGGAGCAGCAAAAGCAACTGGAGGAGCAGAGGAGGGAAAAGGAGAGGCTCGAGGCTCTTAGGAAGAAGGACAAACACGATCACAGCGCGATTGCATCGACGGAGGTCAAGCAACGGCTTCAGGTACTTGGATGTCGCGGGGGGGGGGTCGGTCAACGGAGAGAAATACGGGAACGGATATTTATTTTTCAAAATACAGTAATTCCCCCTTTCCAGCGACAACTTTTTACCCCGGATTCGAGTCACAAAATCAACAATCGTAAATACATTTGTCGTTGCAACGTCGTGAGATTATTTCTAACAAATCGATGAAGATTTCCCGATGAGAATGAGGTCAAACACGACAATATTGCTGATAGTTATTGTTAATTATCTAATAGAAATATATTGCAAAATATCGTTAAAGTTATATCGCTAAAAGAACTTAGTTTGCGCGCGCACAGTCAGTAACGCACGTGCCCGGTTTCTGCGCTACCAAGAACTGCGTAGACTGTAGACTTTTTCCCCACTGTTAGCGCCACTGTGGCGGCCACGCGAAACACCGAATACAGAGCTTTCTTTTCTTACTTTGACAAGTATAACATTTGTTATTTTACATTTGCGTTCGGTGCAAAGAATGTCACACGAAAACGGAAATTACTGTATCGCGTGGTGGTTCGCGACAAGGGTGGCGATCGAGGTGGATGGAACGCGAGAGTTAGGTTAGGTTGGTGAAAAATGTCGCGCCCGAGTACTCGCTGAGAGAAGTACCTTGCACGGTTTCAGAGCTTCCTGGTGAACAAGAAGCAAAGGGAGGCCGCTGCCGCGGCGAATGGTGCCGTACCTGGTACAGCCGGATACAGGAGCTGGTGAGATTTTCTTGAGATCGACGGATCTCGCGCGCCGGGTTCATCCGTCCTACGTGTTCGATTTTCTCATCGAGTATATACTCCGCGTCGTGTTTCGTGTCAGTGGTTCTTAACTTTTTCTTTCTGCGGACCCCTCACGACACTCTGACTTGAAGTTCGTGTCACCCTTTCTTGAAACGATATTTAGAAACATTAATTAAATCAGCGTTTTCGAACCATTAAATTTTCTGAAAAAGTGCACTATCAACACGTTGACTGCTAACCCAAAATAGTAATACTTTTTATAGGATTGAAATTTGATTCCAGACAATTATAAACCACATAACCTAACATTATACTTGGTACTTATTTTAGCAAGCTCAAATTTATTTCCTTCAACATCTCAGCTTGAGAATTCATTTTTTGTTTAGTTCCACAGTGAAAAGATTTATTTATTATCGTGTTATAGCTAGAAAGGATGAAATTAATATTTTCGTTAATTTTACTCGAGGACAATTTAGACTTGTCGGGGTTCGTGGACCATAGATTAAGAACCACTGCTCTGTGTTTCGGTTTTATAAACTTCGATAATTGGTAATTAATTCATCATCTGTAACGAAACGAAAAACGTATTTTAACTGTGTTTTGTATCCGATTCGGTATAATTCGGACCTTAGAAGCGTCTAAATAGTTTCTACTTTGAAAACATTTATAAAGCTGAAATTTATTTCGGCTCTGATTTCATTATCCAATATCGCGAATCGTATTTTATTTAATTTGGTATCAAAATAAATAAGTTCTCGAACCAGAAGAAACAGTTTCGGTTCCGGAACTGAACGTGTAGCATCTCTGCTCAAAAGTATACCTTGCCCAACGAGACGAGACAGCAGACGGATAGCCGTGTCTTTATTCGTCGTTTGGGCGTTTGCTCTTGCTCGCCGTCCCGTCTCGTTGGACGAAGTGCAGTATACTCGAGCGCTTGAGTGCGCCGAGAGTCTGCGCGACGCGATACGGACTGAACAAGAAGCGTGGAATTTGTTGTTGACTAGGTTGCAACCGCAAACGGAATCGGGGGGTACCGCGAACGCTTCGCATCCCTACCGGATGCCGCAGATGCTTCAGGAAAAGTTCGCCGAAGACTTCCCTCTTCGAAAAACAGGTACATATACGCTCGAACGTGCACATACGTGTCGTACGAAATATATCCCGTGGTGTCGAGTGAAACGCATACTTGGTGAAAGGTAGTCTCTCTCTCTCTCTCTCTCTTTCTCTTTCTTTCTCTCTCGCTCTCTCTCTTTCTTTCTTTCTCGTTCTCTCTATGTGTGCCTATGTACGGTAGAATGCCTACTAAAGCATGGTTTTTTGCGATCCAATGATCTTGCCTGTCGAATATTCCGTCCCTCGTCCAATGAGAATTTTACCGTGCCGCACAGCCAGCAAAAACTTGATTGATCCTCTCAGAAACTCCTTTAAACCGAGCCTGCAGGCGCTCGGAAGTTCTCCAGATGGCGCCACGGTGGACCAGAATTCGTTCGTTCGCGCGCCATGTTTGTTCCGACCGATTCGACACATTGACCGTTGCTTTTAATTTACGTATTATGTATACGAATAGATTAATTAATTATAAAGATTAAAAATTATTTTACGAATTAATTCTGGCCCTCCGTGGCACGCCGAACGTTTCCGTTTTCGAGAAAATGATAAGTTTTATCGTCACGCTCGCATATCCGTGCTTCTCCGTCTCTAACATCGTTTCCACCTCTTCTCTCCTATTGCTCTTTGCTTTCCTAGCATCCATCCATAAATGTCCAAGTAAATATCTCCCCAATGGTTGGAGTTACAAAAAAGTTAAATGAGAGAAATCTTTTTTTTTTTGTAACTTGACCATTTATGAAATATTTACTTGAACGTTTATGGACATCCTGTACATTGCCTCTTCTGTGATGACGCGAAAGCTGCCTTCATTGAGAATAAACTACGTGCGTCATCTTTACTACAATTGAAGTACTACTACATTTCAGACGTCGTATTAGCGTGCACTTATTACAATTTTAGCGTCAGGACTACTCTCCAATTTTATTTTTGCTCGATTAGATTATGGAATGGTTGGTGTCTTAACCTAACCTCATCTAAATTTATTTTAGCTTTCAAAAGATTGTTATGATGTCTAGCTGTCCATTGGACGAAAGCTAATTTGTATTCGTTATTAGCATTACGAAGGATATGTGAGAAATAATAATAGTACATCAGCAGTCGTTTACGCGACGAATGGTGGTTTGTCTCAAAGATGGCTGACTCCGCATCGCCACAGAATCTTTCTATACTTTACGCCTAGTATCGTATAGAGTAGCAGTATTTATTCGTTATTAGCAGTATTTCTCGATCCTTTTAAAGTAAAATCCAGTATTTGTTGATGGAGTTAAAAGTTATTAACAATTAAATTCAAAAATTTCAAATCGTTCTGGAAAAATTATTTTCGGTTGCGGGGGTCAATTACAATCATTTTTGGTCATTATACATATCCCCGAAATCCTACCCACTTTCTAGAAAAAAATTCGAGATGCCCAAATTTTTCGACGGAAAAAAAAAATTTCAAATCGTTCTGGAAAAATTATTTTCGGTTGCGGGGGTCAATTACAATCATTTTTGGTCATTACACATATCCCCGAAATCCTACCCACTTTCTTGAAAAAAATTCGAGATGCCCAAATTTTTCGACGGAAAAAAAAAATTTCAAATCGTTTTGGAAAAATTATTTTCGGTTGCGGGGGTCAATTACAATCATTTTTGGTCATTACCCATATCCCCGAAATCTTGCGCATTTTCGAGAAAAAAATTCAGTACCGACGGAACTCTAAACGTTAATAACTTTTTAAAGCTTCCATCAACAAATTATTATTCTTGATTTTTGTCTTATTTTGGCCTCTAGAATCTCTGATTAAAAGTTTTCCCAGGGGTGGCCGGACACCCTGTATATATTTCTGTAAACTATTAAAACCGAAAAAAAACATAAATGTTCATGGGTTCATGGGTACATTTCTTATAATATCAAATATTTTCGTTAAAAGTGATAAGTCGCAAAGAATTGTCCGCCACTTGTGTCACACTTCGATAGGGTTGAGAAACACTGGCGTAAAGGACATGTGTCGAACGGTTAGTTTCCCTCTTCTTTCTTGTCGAAGGCGTAAATGGGATGGAACGAGATCGAGTCAGAGATGCTGGAAGTGAGCGGGAAACGGTGCAAGATAGACGAATCACTGTCGTTTTGTCTCGTCCTGTCTTTCGTATGCGCGACCAGCGTGCGCAATGGGCGCGAGACACTAACGTAAAGTGGACACGATTCCAAGCTTGCGAGCTTTCTTAGCCCTCTACTTTAGCCCTCTCGATGGCACGTAAATTCAAAATCGTGTCCCCTCTACATTGGTACGTCTTGTACCGTTCATTGTCCACTTTCGATATCTCTGGCTCGTTCGTAATTCATCTGTCGCTTTCATAGGGCAAAAGTGAGAATTGTTTGGGCGAGTACCGTGTTCCCAGCGTACAAGGGACAGTCTTAACGAATAAATACTGTCCAGCGAGTATCAGTGCTCCCCCCGATTCCTGCTTCTCCCTCCTCGCCCCCGTAACCGTTTCCGCGATCGCTACCACCGTTTTACTATCCGGCCCGTTACGACGACGACCAACAACTAACCCTGGCTAAAATTGGCCAGCCTCGGAGCCGAACCTGCTGAAGGTGCGACTAAAGCAACGCGTGGAGAGGAACATGGCCGCCTCGAGAAACTCCCCACTGATGGCGCGGCGGAAGGATCGGCTGCTGTCGCACCTCAAGCGGAAGTCACTGCTAGCAAGTACGTCCTACGATCGAGCTTAATCGAGATACGTTCGATTGTCGATTATACATCGACACATATTCCTTGCGTGAGCATTAGCAGACGGTTCTTTGCACCCGTGTTTTCGATTAATCGATCGTTGATTTTTGCCTTTTTTTGCCAGTGTCCAGTAACAGCATGACGACAAACAGAAAAAAAAAAAACGAAAAAAACGAAAAACGTTATCGATTAACATTTCTCGAACGAGAGTATTCGACGAAGTGCGTCGCGTCCCGCGGCGTTTCACGAAGTGTCGCGTCGCGATTTTATTATTTGTTATTAAGCGTTGTACGGGTTACGTAAACGCAAGAGGCGCGGATACACAGAGACAAAATAAGTAACGAGAATTACGTAAGCGCGCGAGAGACGAGGTGTTGCGGCTCGAATCAGAGATGGGATCACGTTCGAACGGTTTCGTAATTGAAATACGGTAGAATCTCGATAACTGGCTGCGCTAGGGGTTCTGGGAGCAGGCCTTTCTAAGAACCGGCCGGTTCGCGGGAGCACGCCACACTGCAATGCGTGACAGACGAAGATAACAGGCCTAACGCGCGTGAGTTATGGCGTGCAAGAACACGGCCCGTTCTCACCAGCCGGTTAACCAAATTCTACCGTACAGAATGTGACAAAATTATACGCCACAACCGTCACACAGGTTCCACGACCCTGGATACTCTTATTTATTTTAAAGATGATTCTAACAAAGGGAAAAGAATGCTAGCTTCGAGATTCGTTGATCCCTTTCATTTTATTCAAAAGCTGTAAATGAAATCTAACCTCTATTAAAGTGTAGGTTTGACCAACAAGGAGCGTGCAAGTCGGGTCCGCTGATTTAGTCGAAGTACTCATCTAGATCTAGTTAAACTGTTTACGAAAATGTTAACATTTATGGTTAAAGCTTTAAAGCTTTCCAAATATGGTAATCGTATATCTAAAAAAACTATCGAGTGTTTGTCGATACGGTGCTACATTTTCGTGAATAGGATGATCAAATCTACAAGATTTCAACTAGATCGGTGGCCCAAAGGAATTTGCTTGCATTCTGCTTGTAAGATTTATCATCGATGCTCTCCGGGAGTAGCGACATCTGTGTTCCATCGAGCGAATCGAAACGAGAGGGGTGGGGAACATTCGCGAAACGGCGCACGCGACGCATCCTAGCGAGCCCGGAATTCGAGATGGGAGAGCGAAAAACAATGGGAACTCTCTCACCCTTGTCGAAATTCGATCTCGATCGCGGCGCGTTACAGGCACGGTTGCGCGACGCTCACCGACCCGCTTGCTGATCGAACCTTTTCCAGATTCAAGCAGCAACCCGGAATCTGGGCCTAATTCACCGCCAACCGTGAACAACTCTCAAGCGAGCCCCACGGCGGGAAGCAACGCGGCGGCAATCCAAGAAGTGAGTACAGAGCGAAATACAGATACTTTACCAGGTGTACCACTTGCAAGCAATAAAACCAAACGAGGGGTGATACCTTATGAAAAAATAAGTAAAAAAGAAAGACTAACACTTTTTTATACGTGGCTCCGTTTTTGTGAAAATCGAGTTGGAAAATTGTGGCGTATTGGAAAAGGTAGAGTTATGGGACGTGTGATTCGAATGAAACGACAGTAATTACTGGTAGAATGTACTTTTTATTAAATGATACGTAAAAGGTATATCTAAGAGGTCAGTTCTGTTCTCTAAGAGATCTGTTACAAGACTGTGACTCCAAACATATACAATCGTCACTGGAGATGATTTTTGTAACAACATGAGACGGTTAGGAAATCCAACATGGTGTCACCTCCCGTACTTGCCGCTAGAGGGCTACGCTCTTGTCTTTCACACAAGCGCTTGACTGACCTATCCTCCTCGACCGACTATATGCTGTCATGTAATAAGACAGGGCCTGCTGAAAAGTCTCACTTGATGAGTCCCACTAGCAGGCCCCACGACAAAATCCCCTCTACTTTCTTTTTCTACCTTCCTACAATCTTTCTCATTTCCTCTACTTGCAGAAGCCAGCTGCCACAAAATTTATCACGTCCCTGTGCACTAGACGTAGTTTTTAATTATTTAAATATTATTACACTAATACTAATGTCCCCCGTTCTTTCGCAGGAGACCGAGAACGCGGCGTATGGCGGCCTCCTGACCAGCGGCAGCCAGCAGGGCAGCCTTTCGGACCTACCATTGTTCAGTTCGCCCTCTATGCCGAACATCTCTCTGGGTAGACCTCACGTACCGTCCGGAACTACCACGGTGAGTCTCACAACCGGGCACAGACTACGCAAGACACCTTAAATCATGGATCCAATCAACTACAATTTATTAGACATAAGAACAAACAGTTTCAAATATTATTATTAATTATTATTTGTTTGACGACAGACCGGCACCAAGTTGGCGACTGTCTCTGAGGCGGAGGTTCGAGCAGCGTTTACGGCACGGCTGGGAATGCCGTTGACGGATCAGATGCTACCCGGTACCTTGCCCTTCTACCCATCGTTGACGGTGATCGAAAGGGAACCACCTACCGCCGGCTACGTTCACAAGCAGATGCAGAATCTGGAGCATCAGTCGGTAACGAACAGACAACACGCAGCCGCGGTCTATTTCAGCGCCGCGGCGGCGTCAGCGTCGGCGTCGGGCTCGGCGTCAGCGTCTGCGTCGCCCATCACGGACACGCAAGTAGCGCACGCGAGGCTGCAAAAGGCTGGTCACCGGCCTTTAGGTAGTATGTTCTCTCTTTCTTGCTGGCAGCCGTTTTTATAGAGCGCGTGCCGCGTGTCGTCGGGCGTACGCGATCGAACGATCCTTCTGGGCATGGATTCCACACGTCGTTGGTAACTTTAGGCAGTTTCGAAAGACGCGAGCTAGCTCGAACGATCGACATGTAGTATACAAACGAAATCTAGGGGGTTATGTTTCGACGATTGAGAAGCACTGATTATTTGCATAATCATTTCTAAGCAAAAAAGCTATGGAGACGTGTGTGTGACATAATCTTGGTAAACTCGTTGGAAAAGGGTAGACCAATTACCCGGGGAGTGTATTATGGCGTCTCTGCTGGGTCACGTAAGTAATGAAACAAAGTGCTATTACTTACGTCCAGCACCGTAAAGACACTAAATATCGTTTGTATGCTATGCTGGTTCGATTACGAGGGCTGTAACCTCGTAAGAAAGAAGGTTTCCTGATAGGATAGAAGTCTGCGCGAACGACCGGCCAAAGGATCGTTTTAGGTGCGCGTCGCCTCCTGGCAAGCATGCGCGTAACATCTTGCTCGTCGACAAAAATCACGCTACAATGGTTCCTCCTCGTTTCCGCAGGTAGGACCCAGTCGGCTCCGTTACCGCTGGGTCACCCGATGCTGCAAGGCGGAGGAATGATAGCCCCGCAGACGCACTACGAAGAGTACCTGGCGGAGAAGCAGTTGCATGATCAACAGCAGGCGCACAATTACCTGAAACAGCAGATTCGTCAGACGGTGTTGACGCGGGTCGGTTCACGGGGCCAGGCGAACCAGTTGGACGAGGCGCCCGAGTCCGAGGAGTCCGAAGTGATAGATCTGACGGGTGGGAAGAAGGATTTGTCGGAGGAGAGCGAAATATCCAAGCAACAACGGGACCGCGAGCAATTCCTACAGCAGCAGAGGGACCTGATGATGAGGCATACCCTGCAGGCCTCGAACGAGTCCACGGCCTATAGCGGGAGCGGCGGCGGCAGCGGGAGCAGGAGTAGCCAACAGTGTGCCAGGCCACTGTCCAGGGCGCTCTCCAGTCCGTTGGTTCACTTAGGTGGGTAAGAAGGCTGTCAGAGCTGTTAGAAGCCCTTACTGCGTGTTACGTATTGGCAATGTGCTCATCGAATGGATAAATGTATAATCGAATTCTACTTGTACAGGTCCTCAGGCCACCGGATCCGCCGCCGCCGATTTATTCTCGCGAGCATCCTCCCACCGACCCACCACTGGCTTGGCCTACGATCCGCTGATGCTGAAGCACGCGTGCGACTGCGGCGAGACGGTACGGGGTCACCCTGAGCACGGCGGCAGGCTACAAAGCGTCTGGGCCCGGCTGTCGGAAACAGGCCTGCTGCAGAGATGCGATCGGATACGGTCGCGCAAAGCGACCCTCGAAGAGATACAAACGTGTCACAGCGAGGCGCACGCGCTACTCTTCGGTGAGTCCTTCCGCGGACTGCGTCGCCAGCTCCCCCCCGTTCCCCCTCTCCCTTTCATCCTTGTCCCGGTGACCCCCTCCAGGTCCGCCTAGAACACTGTCCAACACAGTTTTTTAGTTTTCACGTCACTTTGAAGACCAAGGATGATAGAGTAGAGTTCAATGTGTTGGACAATGTGATACCTCGTGACCTGTTCTCCTTCACGACACTTCTCCCCAAGTCACCTACGGCGCTTCGATTCCCCCCGTTAGCGACAGGGGCAGAGAGTAAAGTGTGCTTCGCGCAGGGACGAATCCGATGAATCGACAAAAGTTGGACGTGTCGAAGCTCTGCCAACTGCCGATCAAGAGTTTCGTTCGACTGCCTTGCGGCGGAGTTGGCGTCGATTCCGACACCACGTGGAACGAACTGAATACCGCGCCGGCCGCCAGAATGGCCGTAGGCTGCGTCGTCGATCTGGCCCTTAAAACCGCCATGGGCGACATTAAGAACGGCTTCGCCGTGGTACGACCGCCGGGACATCACGCCGAAACCAATCAAGCCATGGGTTTCTGCTTCTTCAACTCGATCGCGATCGCTGCGCGGTTGCTCCAGCAAAAGCTCGATGTTCGGAAAATCTTGATTTTGGATTGGGTAAGAGTCCTTTCGCCTCTTCCCCCCGCCTCCTCCTTATGCGCGCGTCGATTCGCTACGGGAACCTCCCTCGAGATAGTCGAGCGACCGGTGTGTATTCGAGAGGTTGTCAGGCGTGTGGATATCGAGGGTGGTTATAGGCAACGTTCGCGCGGATGAGCCCTTTGGATAGCCGATCGTACATGCAAACCAGGGACGTAACGATAACATGCTCCTTATTGCGTCGTAAGGAAGCACGAGATAAGTAGAATAATTGGACCAAGGTACTATGAAACAGTTGCGCGCGCACGATAGTGGTCAGAGCGGTGGGTGGTCAGCGCGATAGTAGCCAGTGCGCGCGCAGCTGTTCGCAGATTGCCGTTCTTCGATCAACAAATTGGTACTCTTGACTTTCGTCGTATTTTGGCCTCTAGAATCTCCCAATCAAAATTTTTCCCCAGAGGTGGCTGGACCTGTATACTACTGCTAGTAAGAGACCAAAAGAATTTACCAGTAAATGTATCAACTTGTGGATAAATATCAGTACAATACCGGGTTGCCCCCACGACGGAACGAATCCCTGTTCACCAGTCGTACAGAGAACCGTAGAAGAATGCGCGCGTCGTTTATTTTCTGTTCGTAGGACGTCCACCATGGGAACGGAACGCAGCAGATGTTTTACGACGATCCGCGAGTGTTGTACCTGTCGATACACAGGCACGACGAAGGTAACTTCTTTCCAGGCACCGGCGGACCGACCGAGTGCGGCGCTGGTGAGGGTCTCGGTTACAACGTGAACGTGGCCTGGTCTGGCGGACTGAACCCGCCGATGGGGGACGCGGAGTACATCGCGGCGTTCCGAACGGTGGTGATGCCGATCGCGAAGGCGTTCGATCCGAGCATCGTGCTAGTCTCGGCGGGATTCGACGCCGCCATTGGTCATCCGCCGCCGCTTGGAGGTTACAAGGTCAGCCCGGCTTGCTTCGGGAAGCTGACGCAACAGCTGCTGGGTCTGGCCGACGGCAAGGTAGTCCTCGCCCTCGAGGGTGGCTACGACTTGGCCGCGATCTGCGATTCCGCCCAAGAATGCGTCCGGGCTCTGCTGGGCGACGAACCCAGCCAGCTGAGGGACGAGGAACTGACCAGGTCACCGTGTCAAAACGCGATCGACACGCTACAGAAGACGATCGCCGTTCAGGTACGATCGCCAGCTTGGCATTTTCTTTCGTTTTTCATCTTAATGAAAATGTTTCTGCGCATGCGTAAGCTGACGTCAGAGCTATCTGTCGTCCGCTACCATAGATGTATCTTTAACACTAGATTTGAGGGCTCTGTTCATGTTGACGATTACCTTAAAATACGATTTTTCTTTTAATTAGAATATGTATTCATGCCATTGCATCAATTATTTGTCATTGTTCGTTTCATAGATGTCGCATTGGCCTTGCGTCAAGCTGAACGCTCACACTGTACCGATGAGCGCGATCGAGGCTGGTCAGAAGGAACGCGACGAATCGGAGACTGTCTCCGCGATGGCCTCTCTTTCGATGCAGCAACCTACCAACTTAACGTAAGTCACTTTCTTTTCGAAGATCCCGTACGCGTGACTTAAAGTCACGTGCCTCCAATGACGCGCATTAACCCAGACCTAACCCAGACCTAAACTAGACCTAAACCAGACCTAACCCAAACCTAACCCAGACCCGACTGTGAAAGGTGCTCACAATACGACCAATAAATTTTCTTTGTTACAAGATATTTACCGTTTTATTAACACTTTAATGGCCGCACGTATCACGCAAAGATCGTTGTTTGTCACTGCTGATATTATAGACCAAAGTGAGATACATGAAGATGCTAGGAATTATAAATGTAACCTCAACCAATGTAATAAATTGAATGTACGACCAGACCTAACCCAAACGTAACTGATGTAGTAGATCACGCACACGTGACAGTGGCCAAAGTCTGCCAGCTCGCAAACTCACGTATACGTGACAGCGGCCATCAAAGTGTTAACCTAGAACTGAATGTCAAATCAAAAAAGATGTATTGGCTCCCTCTGTGCACGGTGGCCTTAAACATTTATGAGGATCATTCTCTCTGAACATTTCAACTAATTTTTCAGAACTACCCCAGAACATTCCCGTGAAGTTTCCGAGGAGCCCATGGAACAAGACGACGCCAAATGAAACCGTAGATGGCTGCGTTGCGGTACGCGCGATCGTCTTTGGAAATTGTCGCGAAACAACCGTCGTTGTATTCGCGACGCGTCGTAGGAGCGGCAGGGCGAGACGTGGAGCCACGCTGCGTCGCGCGACAACGTGTGCAGTCTACTCTGTTCCGATGTTGCATCCGTTCGCACCAGCGTCGTCGAGCCATTTCGCGCGCTTCTGTCGCCGTGACGTATGGTGTTGCATCCGCGGCGCACGGTGGCGCTGTTGTTGAGCCGACCACGCGAGAAGAGCCGAACCTAGCCGAGCCACCGATTTATACACACAGTTTCTTCGTCCACATGATACGTTTGCGCGCAACAGCACCTTCGAACCACTTCTTCTCGTACACGCGAGCAAATTTGTACTGTTTCGAGTAATCTCTCATAGTACATTCCATGGAACCGTGTTGTTGGACGTGAACGAAATCCGCTCTAACAAAGTTTTTATTACGTAAAAAGCAAATCTATCTTTCCATTCAACTTGGAGTTTTTATGGAACAAAGTTTTATTTGTCTGATATTATAAGATAATATCCGTTTTAACGCATGTGTGTGTTTTTTTAACATTTTAACTGCCAATGGTCACTGGTGACCGGCACTTTGCACACGCAACGTACGTGTTTCGATATTGTTTACGATAAAAGGATAATTTAAATGCCAGTAGTTCACGGTTAACATTCCGATCCCTTCCACTCAGCGTCACCACCCCAACGAAAGCTGATTTGAATTCTTTTTCTTGAAGAAGAAAGAGCAAAATGAATGATCATACGATACGAAAATTTGTTATTTATTTTTCCTTTTAAAATTGATGTGTTTGTAACTTTTACTGTTGCATCGTTCCATGGAACGTACTATACTCACAGCTACACGAATTGCTTCTGATGACTGACCATCTCTCACGTTCGAGTCGCGCAAACCGACATTACCGGATAGAAATTTCGAAGAAACTCGCTATAGGAAAAAAAAAAGTTGTACCTGTTTGTGAATCGTCGGTCGTCCTGCGAAACGCCGAACGTCGGGATCAGATGTTCGAAACGATTTTTGCGTCAGAGGGTCACCTAAATTTGCGGCGTGTCCTGCGACTCGAGTAACACGAACGTTCGAATGCCTTCGAATGTCTTTATCGCGCGAATCGAAAGGAAACGTACGGTTTCGTGCCGGTATAATTATACAATCACTTGAAAACATTCGCCAAGGGTTTCCTTACTCGATGAAAAAATTGTGCATCCGTTCAGAAGAGGTTGTCGATTTTATTTCAAACAATTTTTGACTGTAGCGTGAAGATTCACGTAGTCGTGAAATTTTGAAAAGATCGAGGCGAGGAACAGTCGCGGGAGAAAACTGTTCGCGAACTCGACGAAAAGCGGAAAGACAAAAAAAAGCGTTTCGCGTGTCTCGTTGTCGCGAGACCACAGCGATTGATTTTTCTTCGGGCGGCATAGCGACGTTTGGTTGTTTTATCGCGAACAAAGGCTGGTGTGATTTTTGTGATATTTTGTAAAAAAAAAAAAAAAAAAAGAAAAGATGAAATTTAACGAGCTACTGTTAAATAAAAGTATAAGTGCACGCGAGAATGTGTGTACGCGTGTGTGTACGTGTGCATGAGTGTACGAGTGTGTGTGTGCGCGAGAGAGAGAGAGAGAGAGAAAAAATATAATTGAAATACGAGCATTTATTTTTGTGTCGTGCATTTTACGAGAACACGGGAGTCACGTAAACGAATCGATCGATCGGCAAATGATTTCCGCAGTTTCGTACGTTGCGTATAACGTATATGCATATACGCGGACGTGTGCGCATATACGGGCATCGAGTACAAGGAACATATGTGTGCATCGTATGTTTGTGTGTTCGCAAGGAATCTCAAGTGTTCGTCCCGTATTTTTACCAAAAAATTATGGAAATATCTAGCACGAAACAATTCTTTGGTCGATTCGTGTCGTAAACTCGGAGACCCCCGATATATTCCCCGATCCGTGTACTATGCAACGATGACTCGATGGCTAGGCGCGCTGATTGGCCGTGGCTTAACACTTTGACTGCCACGTCACCCATATATGGCTGACAAGACCTTCCCACTATGGAATTAAAACAATTTATTCTGAAATTGAAATTGAAATGTTAAATAAATTTATATAGGACGAAAATAAGTACCGAAGACAAATTTTAAGTTATGCAGTTTACTGTTGCTTAAAATCCAAGTTTTGGTCTCGTTAAAAATTGTACGGTTTTGATGTGGCAGTCAACGTGTTAATAGCGACGCTCTCACATGCATTGTCATTATTGGCTGAGTCGCTCACGAATAGGGACAGAGTAGGATAGGACAAGACTTGAGAGGCATTGGCGTAACCGTACGCTCAAAATACTAACCATCGATAGAACAAAAGTGTATTTCTCGTGGTTATGGAGACCCTACTACTATGTTGCGTGACGTCAAAGCGGGCCTCTATGGTGGGAATATGGAGGAGCGTAGACCTTCTCTCTTTGCTCTTCGACAGTTTAGTTTGTGGGTGTCTAGCCAAAAAGTCATCTCTGGATAGTATATTCTTCATTGGAACCAGGTTTGCCGGGTGGAGAAGTGGCGTTACCATCCCCTCTTTGATCCTCCACTCGCCCTCCGTCACCCAACACTGCCCGACACCGAGTGAGAGGGAAAGTGTCACCCCCTAGCGTCGCCTTGAGCATTGAACGGAGTCCACGCGGTGAAGAGCAGGACAAACGGTGGAGACCGTCGGACATGAGAAGTGGGGGGGGGAGTAGACCGAGGTATTCTATACTATAGATTCTCTATAGTATAGAGTTTGTACGGTAACCTTGGCGACGACTCGAAACTGCATTCTTCTCTCGTTCCTTCCGTTCAATGTACAGTAGTTCCTCGATATTATTCGGATACTCAAACTACGTGACGTGAAAAATATCTCTAATTTTATTGACCACGTGATAGGCGAAAATGAGAACCATCGAGTGTAAATGAGATAGTTAAAATCTGGTCATAGACTGGTTCCATTCGACCGAGAAAATTCTAGGATTTGTGGTGGGGATGATTCCGTTAATATTGTCGAGGACTACTGTATATGCACCTCTCTCCCCCTCCCCACCCCTTCCGTTCCCTTTTTGGACCAATTGTGCACCGTTCCCTTTACGCTTTCTTCTGTATCTCTCTTTACGCCTTGTCCTCGCTTTTAACTTTTTTTCGCGACCAATCGTCCTCGCGTAATATTTTCCTAAATTCGTTCTCGCGATTCTCTCCATCTCGCTAGCCCTAACCTCCTTTAAATTTTCCTTATCCCTTCGACTCGATTCGATCGAACTATTCGTTACCACTGGTTCTCCGCTCTCGTGCGACGATCGTTTGGAAATTGTTGACAATTTTAAGAGAGTTTTATGCGTTTCGGACAAAGAAACTTGCAACATTCCGGTATCGTTCGTAGGAAATCGATACAAGTTAGATGTAAAACAAAAAAAAAAAAAAAAAAAAATCGTTGACTCGCATCGAAAGCAGAATAATAATAAGAGTAAATAAACAGATAACAAAAAAAAAAAAAGAAGTGAAAATAAGAATCTAAAAGTCGAAGATGAAAAAAAAAAAAAATATTACGATTACGTTATTGCACGTGTACGAGTATGTCCATATTGCGTAAGCTTAAGTGTATTAGTCATACATTTTTTATGTATATAAATGTACCTCGTAAAGTAATTTTAAATAAAAGGTATAGTCATTGTGTTACGCATACGTTAACGACATGTGTGCAGAGAGACCGGGGACACCTTATTTCACTTTCCCATACTATACCAGATCACTCGTACGTGAGCTCGTAGATGTTCGGGGAGTCGACAAAGACAAACTGACACATGCCCTCTTTCTCGATTCCCCGAAGCTGCCCGAAGTAATTTCGGACAGTCTCGTGGGAGTCGAGAGAAAAAGGGTTACATTTGCCTTCTCGCTCTTGAACAACTGAAATCTGACTTCACGTCAACGGTATACAATTTGGAATCTCGATTGCCCAGACATTTTTACTTGCAGACTTATGTAGGTTCATATAAGCAAAGTACCCATAATGACACAATGTATAACGATTATGACTGGCTACTGCCAGCTTCTCCCAGCCTCTGCTGACCACAGCTTATATTCCTGACAACGTATAACGATTACTACTGATTTCTGCCAGTCCCTACTGGTCTCCGCTTGCATCTACTTGCCCCTACTGGTGGCTAACTTGGATTCGCAGGGAATGTCATGAAACTGTTTTACCCAGTTATACCCCTTTTTACCTGAAGTATAAGGTACAAAGTACGAGGTACAAGGTACGATTACATGTACTCTGCCAACTGCTGCTGACCACTCCTGATACTTCTGACAACGTATAACGATTACTACTGGTTACTGCCAGCCTCCGCTGGCCTCTGCTGACCACCGCTTATATTTCTGACAACGTGTACCGGTTACTACTGACTTCTGCCTGCCTCTACTGCCCTCTACTGACCGCTGCTGACCACTCCTGTTACTTCTGACACCGTATAACGATTACGACTGGCTACTGCTAGCCTCTCCCAGCCTCTGCTGGCCTCTGCTGACCACCGTTTATATTTCTGACAACGTATAACGATTACTACTGACTTCTGCCAACCTTCGCTGGCCTCTGCTGACCGCTGCTGACCTTTCCTGGTATTTCTGACAACGTATAACTATTACTACTTGTTATTGCTGGTCTCTGCATGCCTCTGCATCCCTCTGCTGGCCTCTGTTGTCCCCTGCCGACCACTGCTGACCACTGCTGACCTTTATCAACTTCTGACATGATGTATAAGTATTCAAGCCTTGTATAATGTAAATCTATGGCAATAAATGATATAATTTAACAGAATTCTATGTGTTCTCATCATTTTTACCTTTCCTTTCCTCTCCAAATCATTGCCTTAGTTTTAAGAGACCGTTTTCCCGGTTCAAATTGGATTCCCAAAGTGTCCACCTCTCGTACTTGCTGCCAAAATAAAAAATTAACTTTTCAAAAAGTCCTGAAACAGCTGGGAAGTCCTGAAACAGCTGGAAAGCCCTGAAACAGCTGGAAAGTCCTGAAACGGCTGGAAAGTCCTGAAACAACTGGGAAGTCCTGAAACGCCTTGGAATTTTGGAAATCCCGACCCAGCTGGAAAGTCCTGAAACAGCTAGAAAGCCCTGAAACAACTGGAAAGTCCTGAAACAGCTGAAAAGCCCTGAAACAGCTGGGAAGTCCTGGAATTTCTTGGAAACGCCGAAAATTCTTGGAAACCCTGAATTTTTAGCAAAGTTCTGAGTTTCGGGGCTTCCGAGGTGTTTCAGGACTTCCTAGTGGGTTCAGGGAAACCAAGGAGTTCCAGGGAGTCTTATAACTAAGGTAATGATTTGGAGAGGAATAGAAAGGTAAAAAATGATGAGAACACATAGAATTCTTTGTAATTATATCATTTATTGCCATAGATTTACATTATACAATGTTTTAATACATATATATCATGGCAGAAGTTGTTAACAAGGGTCAGCAGTGGTCAGCAGGGGTCAGCAGGGGTCAGCAGGGGACAGCAGAGGCTTGCAGAGGCAAGCAGAGACCAGCAGGGGCAGGCAGTAACACGTAGTAATCATTATACGTTGTCAGAAGCATCAGGGGTGGTCAGCAGTGGCCAGCAGAGGCCAGCAGAGTCCAGCGGAGGCCACCAGTGGCAAGTAGTAGGACGCAGGGGCCAGGAGGGGACAGCAGAGGCATGTAGAGGCAATCAGAGACCAGCAGGGGCAAGCAGTAGCAAATTGTAATCGTCATACGTTGTCAGAAGTATCAGCAGTGGTCAGCAGGGGCCAGCAGAGTCCAGCAAAGGCATGCAGAGGCAATCAGAGGCCAGCAGGAGCAAGCAGTAACACGTAGTAATCGTTATACGTTGTCAGAAGCATCAGGGGTGGTCAGCAATGGCCAGCAGAGGGCGTCAGAGTCCAGCGGAGGCCACCAGTGGCAAGTAGTAGCAAACAGAGACCAGCAGGGGCAAGCAGTAGCAAATTGTAATCGTTATACGTTGTTATAAGTATCAGGAGTGGTCAGCAGCGGTCAGCAGAGGACAGCAGAGGGCAGCAGAGGCAGTCAGAAGTCAGTAGTAATCATTATACGTTGTTAGACATATCAGGAGTGGTCAGCAGCGGGCAGCAGAGGCAGGCAGAAGTCAGTAGTAATAGTGATACGTGGCCAGAAATATAAGCTGTTGTGAGCAGAGGCCAGCAGAGGCTGGGAGATGCTGACAGTAGCCAGTCGTAATCATTATGTGTCGCCAGATATGTATATCAGACGAGATATCTAAAATAGTATACATATGTACGCTCATATCAATTATTTTCTATAATTAAGATGTGATCAGGGGATCTTAAAACGTGTATTTCCGTGAAAAAAGTTTCATAAAATTTTTATTCATTTTGGTGCTTTGCTTATGTGAGCCTACGTAGGCCGGAATGTAAAAATGCCTGGGCAGTCGAGAATCTCGGCTACGAGAATCCAAATCGTATGCCGTTGACGGGCATGCCCTTCTGCTGGTCCCTGGTGACCTTTTTTGACAACTTCTCACACGATACATATGTATTAAAGTTTTGTATAATGTAAATCTATGGCGATAGATGATATAATTTCAAAGAATTATATGTGTTCTCATCATTTTTACCTTTCTTTTCCTCTCCAAATCATTTAATTAGTTATAAGAAACCGTTCTTCCGGTTAAAACTGGAATCCCAAAGTGCTCAGAAAATTAATTAATTCTTCTATTTTATTAATATTATAAAAATGAAAACACTCATTGAAAAATGCTACAGCGTGCACAATATTGGCAAAGAGTGGATTCTCATTTTAATTTATTAAATTTCAATCTTAAAGTATTTTGATTTTGAAAAATTGTATTAATAATATACACATATACGCTCATGTATGTATAGAAAAAGTAAAAAGAAATTTTTTGTTCAATAATTAAAATATGATCAGGAGGTCTTAAAACGTGTATTTCCGTAAAAAAAATTTCACAAAATTTTCTTTTTCATTAAGGTACTTCGCTTATGTGAACCAACATAAGTCTGAAAGTAAAAATGCCTAGGCGATCGAGATTCTAGATCGTACGCTGTTGACGTGAGGTCGGATTTCAGATGTTCAAGAGCGAGAAGGCAACTGTGAGTCTTTCTCTCTCGACTCCCACGAGGCGGTCCGAAATTACTTCGGGCAGCTTCGGGGAATCGAGAAAGAGGGCATGCGTCAGTTTGCCTTTGTCGACTGTCCGGAACTCCACGAGCTCACGTACGCGTGATCTGGCATAGTGTGAGAAAGTGGAACGAGGTGTCCCTGGTGCAACCGGGGCTCCGTCTGGCATCTCTGCATATGCGGTCCGCGACAACGTCCCGTACGACTTCCGGTGAGATCCTCGGGGTTCCCCTTTCGCAGTCTCTGAAACCACGAAAACGCCCCCGCCCGCTGGGCGTGCACCAACCACTCGAACGATCCACCAAACGTTACACGCAATTTCCAGACTGACATACGTTTAATCGAATCTTTGTACAGAAAACAATAGAAATTAACGTAAACTCGTTTCAAATCACCATTATATATACATATACATGTATATATTTATATATATTTTTTTTATTTTTTTTTACGCAAAGTGCTAATACTACTACGATAGGTAACTCGATATTTTCTAAATTTATTTTCTTTTTTCTCGTTTCGTGTTTTCTTCTTTTTTTTTTTCCTTTTAGTATACAGATCTCGACGCGATTATGACTAACGTCGGAAGAATTCATCCCTTCCATTTTATCCGTGGGTCACGATGCGACGATTTTCACGACTTTCTCTTACCGAGGCTCGCTTTCTATTCGTGGCTGTGATTATGAAAGTGGTGCAAATCAAGAAATCGAAAAAGAAATTGGGGATTTTATGTTACACATGTTTATGCTTCGATATTATGGAACGATTCTTTCCAAAAATCCATGTCCATGCGGTGTAAGTCAAAGCTGTCAAATCACACCATCTAACTATACCCATTGCGTCCATTTGACTCTGTATCGAGTCTACATAATGGCGGGGGCAGTATAGGGGAGTATATTCTCCAGTTCTGAGAGAACTGCTAGATCAGTGGTGGGGGTAGTACAGCAATGGCGGGGTATATAAGTTCAGCAGCCTTGGGAAAAATTTAAATGGGGAATTCTAGAGGCTAAAATAAAACGAAAATCAAGAATACTAATTTGTTGATGGAGGCTTCGTTGAAAAGTTATTAACCTTTAAAGTTCCGTCAGTTCTGAATTTTTTTCTCGAAAACGCGCAGGATTTCGGGGATATGTCTAATCACCAAAAATGATTGTAATAGACCCTTGCAACTGAAAATAATTTTTCCAGAACGATTTGAAACTTTTTTTTTTCGTCCAAAATTTTAGGGACCTAATTAAGATTTTCGGCAAAGAATTTTTTTCTCGAAAATGCGTAGGATTTCGGGGATAATTATATTGACCAAAAATGATTGTAATTGACCCCCACAACCGAAAATAATTTTTCCAGAACGATTTGAAATTTTTGAATTTTGTCGAAAAACTTCACAACCTTCTCGAATTTTTTTCTCGAAAGTGGGTAAGATTTCGGGGGTATGTGTGTTCACCATAAATGATTGTAATTGAGCCCCGCAACCGAAAATAATTTTTCCAGAACAATTCGGAATCTTTTAATTTAATTGTTAATAACTTTTTAACGAAGCTTCAGTCAAGAAATTAA